ACCACTACACCTGTTTTTTCATTTTTAAAATTTTTATACATTGATGTGAACTATGGTTACATGGATGTGTGTCTGTATCCGTGTGTACACATGTGTGAGTGTGAAATACTTATCTGTATCCTGAAAAGCTGTGTATTTGTCACGAATTATACCTTGATTCAAAAACAATTTTTTAGGGGCTGGAGATTTAGCTCAGCGGCATAAGCGCCTGCCTTGCAAGCAGGCAGTCGTGAGTTCGATCCCCGGTACCAATAAAAAGGAAAAAGACCAAAATAATAATAATAATAATTTTTTTTCTCTTTTTATCAGTACCGGGGATTGAACTCACAACTGCCTGCTTGCAAAGCAGGTGCTTATGCCGCTGAGCTAAATCCGCAGCCCCATAATAATAATTTTTTAAAGGGTGGCATTGATGACAAATGCAAGTGACTGGAGTTGGGAAACAGAGAGCGCTGGGGTCTGGCAGAATCGGAAAGTCAGTGGCTGCCGGAACAGAATGTGGAGAGAGCAGTGGAGGAAGAGGATTCTGGGTTGCAGCACGAGGAAGGACTCAAATCTCTCACCCTTTTTCTATTCCATCACTAATTTCCAATCAAAAACATCTTAACGGGTTTGGCTTGTGATTCTAGAATCAGGCCACACTTCATTCTATAGAATGGGATAGTCTGATGAGCTGAGCAGACAGGGAAGCGTGAAAGGAAGCAAAACAGAGAACGAAGTGCACGCAAATTGTTCACTGCTACTTTCCCTGGGCTGGAGCCCAGCGGGAGACCGCTTCACAGGTGTGTGGATGTATAAGACCCAAACAAAAATCTTTGGAACAAAGTTACTTTCCTTGCAAACTGGGCCTAGCAAGACACAACAACAAATATATAATTGATGGGTTAACAACCCGTTCCTTTTCTGATAAAGGTTAAAGCCAGGGGATTTTGCTTTGCCCACTGAAAGTGGCATGTTGAGATACTGGCAGTTACCATCTTCACCTGATTTCCTGAAAGACTGAATAACAACTTAGTCTCAGGTTGGTGATGTGAAATCTTAGCATGAATGACCCCATGTTGATTTTTAGTCTTGTCTGTTGGAGCCAGTGCAAAAATGAGTCTCAAAGAATCATGTGCTATAATTTTTACTTAACAGCTATCAACTCCAACATCCAAAGCTTAGAATGAGAAGAGAAATTGTAATGTTTTGGACAAAGAGATGTTAAATTACTTAAAATCATGAATGCATGTACAGGTTAGCTTAAATCAGAGCTGACAGCCTGATTGCTTTTGTTTCAACAAATCCTTTAAAAGTTTCAAAGCCTAGGGGCTGGGGATTTAGCTCAGTGGCATAAGCACCTGCCTTGCAAGCAGGCGGTCGTGAGTTTGATCCTTGGTACCGATAAAAATGAAAAAGGCAAAAAAAAAAAAAAAGTTTCAAAGCCTATGTCTTTATCTTTTATGCCAAAGCTCTCATTCCGCCTTACAGTTGAACCTCTCTTTGATCATATTTCTCTATTGTTAATGTGCTAGATTGATTCATTTGACCCTGAAGTCTTAATTGAGGACTTCCAGTCTCTTCTTTATTCCTCCCTTGGTCTACACATGCTTCCATATAAGAAAAATAACTGCTTTGTCAGTTGTTTTTTTCTAAGGCATGCAGTCATGTAATTTATTTCCCACCAAACACTGGGAGTTGGAAAACCTTGATTCCAACTTAGATTCAGTCACTCATTGGCTAGACAAGTTTGAACAAGCAATTTAACTCCTTGGAAAGTCTTCTTGTGATGTGATGTGTATGTACGTGTGGTGTGTTGTGTGCATGTGGTGTGTGTATGGGTTGGTGTAGTATGTGCATGTGGTGTGTGTGCGTACGTGTGTACATACTGGGGATGGTGATGGTAGCTAGAGGTTAGGGAAAGCTTTTATTAGGGAGTTGTCAAAAAGAGACCCATTGCTGGAGAACATGAATAATTGAAGGTAATAGATATAATTGTTCATTTGTATCACCTATGCAAGAGAAAACAGACAAAAAAGGAGAATGAGCAAGATAGCAGGTAAGTGATGGGAAAAGAAATATGGTGAGATAGCAGGAAAGGCCATACTCGCTGGCAGATAATGGTGACTTATTTTGATGTGTTAACTAAGGACAAGGCACTGTGAGAAGTGCTGTATCTGGCTGTTCCCATTTAAGTGTCCCAGCTGCTCTGGGAGACACATTCTAGCCACCCCCACCTTCTTAGAAGAGGGAGCCCAGGCTACAGAGAAGTCAATGAGAGAGTGATGAGGGTCACACTGCTGCTTCAAGAGGTAGGGTCAGAATTTGAAGGGGGCAACTTGACTCTAGAATTTATATTCTCATCCCCTGCACACTCTGCCCTTAATGAAGCACAGGTTTTGGAGAAGCATCTGTACAGTGGTGTATACAAGTGTGTGTATGGCATTTGTGTGTGTGTGGGGTCTCGATATTGTGATATTAAAAAAAAACAACTTAGTCATTGTCCCTCATTCCTAGCAAAGAGTCCAAAAAACCCAGAGTGGCTGGATAGGAGCTTCTTTTTCGTTCATAGTAAGCTCCCTAATATAGCTCAATTCGCACGAAGGAGGTGAATCCTGAAGAATGGAACTGATTGTCAGAAGAGCCAACTTGGGGTCAGAGCACCTGGAATTCTCAGCCCCACCCTCCCCCTGCAGGGAGAGGATGAGATGGGAGTTTGAGTCCAGTCACCTTGGCCAAGGATATATTCTGTGGGCCTGTGTAATGGGTTTTCTGTAAAGCACCTAAACCATGAGGTTCTGAGAATTTCCGGTTTCTCAAAGCATCAAATATCCTAGATGTGCCTAAGAGGGCCTGGAAGTTCCCTGCCCCTTCTCAATACCTCGCTCTGTGCATTTTTATACGGAAGAAGCCTTAAATAAACTCTTTAGCATCACTTGCTTACATCATCAGTTTTATAGGTCACACCGCTAAGCAGTACACGCGCATCACCTGTGCTAAGCAAACAACATGCCTGATGTGTAGGTGGCGACCACAGCAGTTATCCATATTGTTTTTCAGGAACTTGGAGACTGCTTTTGCCTATCTCTAGCCAGTGGAAACAACTGGCTTCTTTTGGACCAGTGCTGGTATCTACTGCTGACATGTGGATAGAGGAAGGCAGAAACTACCGACCACAGCAAAGACTAACGCCTCAGTTTCACAACACCCATATATATATATATATATATATATATATATATATATATATATATATATATATGAGTACGCATGCGCAGAATGCGTTTGCGCAGAGGACGCATGCGCAGATAGAGCACGCTATTTTTCCCGCCAATCACAGCGTCTCGTCTGAACGCTGTGGGGGACGCTTTGGAGACCTGGAGTTCCTGTCTCTTCACGCCTATCCACCTGGTGGATAAGCTCGCATTCTGTTCTGAGAAGGACGTCTTTTTAGTGATTGGCGCCCTATGCAACAGGCAGGACGGCTGGCTCATTCACAGTGGCTTCTGTCTGGCTTTTCCCGAGGGGACCCCTTTTCTGACACAAAGGTAATCTCGTAAACAAACTGCTTTTATGATTCGTGTGAGTTAGTGTAGCAAGGGATCAAACCAGGGGAAGGGGCTGTGGAAACCTCCATTGTGTAGCAGGTGGGTCAGAAGAAAAGTGACAAGTGGGCTTGGTGATTGGTGTGTGGACTGTGTGCGTGCACGTGTGCGGGACGGGCCTTTAACCTATAGGCTCTGTGACAGCTCGGCAGTTGGCTTCAGAATTGAGCCGAGCTGTAGTGGAAAGTGAAAACAGGAAATTACTTGGTGTGGAAAAAAATCCACACATTTGTTGTCAGAAGTGGAGAGAGCAGAGGAAAATGGAGTTGGCTTCACTTTTCCGGCTGATCCTTCTCATCCCTTTGGAAATCCCAGTGCGCACGCTCCCCTTCTCGTGAACTGAGCCTCCTCAGAGAGCCCCTTGCATCTGCAGCAGGGCTCACATCTTCTAGGTAGACCGTCCGTGGGGTTAATGCCCAGCTTAACTCTGGAGGGGTGGAGCGGAATCAAAAACGCGAGAGCAGGGATGCAGGTGAAGACCTCATAAATACATGTATTTTGACTTCCTAACTCCCGAAAGCTAAAGTTCTAGTGTTATTAGATGAGGTAAGGGCCAGCGAAGTTTTCCGGGTTCTAATTTGTGTCAATCAATTAATTGGTCAGGACAATTGGTGTGTATGAAAGAGTACCATTTTAGAGCAGAAATAAGAAAAAAGAGGAGAAAAAGCACATAGGAAGAACTGAGAGAAAAAAGGCACTTTGAAGAAGAGAGAGAAGACATCTTGCAAGTAGAACAGAGCACCACAGGATAAGAGGGCAGTGGCTCCAAACGCCATTGCTGCTGTCCTCACATTCAGTCCTGTTATTCCAACGTGCAGAATGTTCCTCTTTATGGAGTCTGAGAATCTTACAGGAATGAGCATAAAATTTAGAGGCAGGCCTGGATGAAACTAGGAAGCCGCCTCACCCTCTGCATCAACCAAGAGCTCATGGACCCTTATGCTTTGTTTCCCAAGAGCTCAGTACTGTGGAATCTTGGCCCAGAATAAACAGCCTTTCCAGTTTAAACAAATATCACTGCCAGTTTGGTTCTCAAGGGCTTAGGTAAAAGCTGGGCTGTGTACTCCACTGGAGTGGGGTGATTGGTTTGTAATTAATTGGTTCTGTATACACGAGAGGTTACAAGATTGGGGCCAGCATCACTCAGTTTTTGTCTTCAGATACTGAATCTGAGCCAGGGCTTCGCTGGTTGCTTAACAGCACTGCAAATGGCCTCAGTGTAAGTCAAGGGTGCTGTCAAACCTTTGTTACAGTTTTATTAAATTTGCATGTGCTAAAGGCAAAAAGTGACTGTTCTTTCCATCTCTCTTTTTCTTTCTCATACTAGGGGTTAAACGGAGGACATTTCCCCTGAGATTCATTCCTGGTTCATTTTTTTTTTTTCCGAGATGGGTCTTATTAAGTCACTGAATTGCCAAACTTGCAGTTCTCCTGCCTCAGTTTCCCAGAGTGCTAGGATTACAGTCATGTGGGCATCTTTCAAGAGGTCCTGGCGTCCGTCTTCCTACCCAGTTAGTTCCCTGGCCTTCCACAGAGAGGCAATCCAAGCTCTCACTGTCAGCCCTGCTGCTTGTTTTGGAGTTTTACCAAGAAGAGGCTGGACAGCTGGCTGACTGGTAGGCTGAACAAGTCAGGAACACCCCTGACCTCTCTTCCGACCAACTAGCTCTGGTAAGTGGGCAGGCCTTGCATCTGGAGAGCTGCAGCCACATCTGGATGCTTACTGCAGAATCAGTTTAACAGTCTCTGAGGCTTAGGCCCCCAGCCTGGATGGGAGCTGCTGGCCAGACCCTGGCTCCCCATAGCAACAATGAACACGACCAACACTTCTACCCCGTACTACAGCTATGAATACTACCTAGACTACCTAGACTTCCTTCCCGTGGATGAAAAGAAGCTGAAAGTTCACAAACGTAAGTCAGACCTGGGGAAACCGGCCAAGCAGAGGCTGGGGGGTTGGCCCACATGACTGTGCACACCCAGCTTTTCCTTTATTCACTTACTAAGTCTAGAAGATGTCACAGCTAAGTAGTGGTATGACCAGGGCATACGTGCATACAAATGAATGGGGCTCGTGGTCAGATATGGATCTGTTCTCTGTAATATGTAATAAATCTGTGAATGAACTGCCATAGAACTAAGCAGAATATTCTTTAAAGACAGATTTCTTGATGAAGTTTATTTTGGGCTCCAGTATACCCAGTTCTTGCAATTGCTGAGTTTGCTTTTTATTTAATTTGGAAGAGGAATTCTCTCTACCTGTAAGACATATGGATGTCACTTTCACTATAATGCCGACAAGTGTTTAATCTTCAGGGAGGATAAAGACGAGTTAACATCTGCCCTTGCATTCCTTATCTCTTGAGTAAATTGGCACTCTGTGGCAACCTTCCCTGTCAGTCCAGCTGCTCAGTTGAGATGATAGGTCAGCCAAAGAAATGATCGTGAAAAATGGAATAGCAGAATAGTTATCCTGACCTGGGATATCCATCCTCTGCCTGTTTCTCTCTTGTGTGCTCACTCTGTCCCCCTCCCCTCTCTCCCTCCTATTCTCTCTCTCCCCTCCCCCTCTTCCTCCCCCTGAACTGTCCCTCTCCCTTCTTCCCTCCCTCCCTTCTTCCCTTCCTCTCTTTCTCCTTTCCTTTCCCCTACTCTTTCTCTCTCTCTTTTTCTCAATCTTGGATTCTTTGGGTATTTCCTCACTATAATCCTATAATATGTCCATCAAAAGGTAAAATAAGTCACTAGCAAGAATGGGATGCATTTCACATGGAAGAAAAATAATCTGTTATACACCAGCTTTAAACTGAAATATATTTGAATGCTGCTATTTAAGATATTGAGCCACAGGTAGAACCGTGGGGACAGCTTCTAAAATACAGAGGCTGGGCAGAATATACAGTGAATGTTTAAATTTTTAAAATACAGTGAAAGGCACATTGCTTTAACTCTCCTCATAATACTCCCACTTCTATCATTATTTCCACTTCCTAAAGCAGTTTCAGAAGTGGTCTTTTTGGATCTTCAGGAAGTATGGTCAGAAATACAGTGCTGCTGCCAGGTTCCATCCAGTGAAAAGGCAGAGAATATTATAGTTGTCCTCATCAGCCTTATTCACCAGGTCTGCTGCCATGTGCGTTTGACTCTTTCTCAAAGTCAAAATGACTGCAAAGGTAAAGTTTGTATTAATTCAGGTCATCTGAGGCAGCCATGACAGTACAACTAAAGATACTTAAAAAACAATTTCCAGAACTGCTTTAGAAAGTGATAAGAATGATGGCATAAGTATGTTTGATGTAACAGGGAGTACTTTGAAGAGATTAATAGGAATGTGTCTTTTACTGTCTATATTTTTAAATTTTACTAAGATTTTAATAATTTTTTTTTGCCTTTTTTGGTGAGTGCAAACACATACATACATACATACATACACTACTATAGTATATATTTTTAAAGATACTTTAAAACATTCCTGTTTTTCTATCACACTTACTTTCTTATTAGGTAGAGTGCCACTTCTAAGTTTCATTCACAACTTGCAGAAGTCAAAAGCAGATGCCCACCTGTGTTTGTTGAGAACTTATTATGTCCCAAGCACCATACTAAAGCTTTTGCAGGGATATGATGTTTGGTGTGTGTTTTCTGAAGAAGGTAAAAATCATAAAATTGGAGTGCAGATTTTTGTGCACACAACTCACTCACAAAGACAGTAATAAGGAGAAAGTGGCAGAATTGAAATCAGTGTCCACTTATTAATACTGTCAAAAATCCAGAACTTTGTGGCTGGGGATTTAGCTCAGCGGCATAAGCACCTGCCTTGCAAGCAGGCAGTTGTGAGTTCGATCCCTGGTACTGATAAAAAGGAAAAAGACAAAAAAACCAAACCAAACAAAACAAAACAAAAATCCAGAACTTCAAGATGCGTGATCTGGACAAAATGTAGGCTTGTGTTCAAAAAAGTCTTTTTTAAGTTAACACAAATGGGATAAGACTCAGGTCAGCTTTAGACACTACCACCTTCTTGGGTGCCAGATATCCTGCCTGGTTATCGGCTGGGTTCCAGAGCTACTCACCACTGGGAGTCTTCTTGACTATCTTAGAACCCCCAAGCTCAGCCTTCTGCTCTACCCCCATAAACAACTTCCACTTTAGGGGAAAGGGTTGACATTCTCTAAGTTAGGCACTAGGTTTAAAAAGATGTTCTTTCCTTATGAGTTTACAACCTGTTTGCAATAAGAAAATCTTCTATAAGCTGCCACACCTAATAAAGGAAACAGGCCAGAGAGAGTTCCTGAGCCATGCATTTAGGCTCAGTGGGTATAAGGGGCTGGACATCTGTAGGGAGACGCCAGCCCCTGGGTCCCTCCCCCAGGAGATAAAACAGCTATTGATGTTTTAGCAATCATTCAAGTCGTGAATCTCAGGACATATGTAGTAACTGTGTCCCAAATCTGTACACAAAGTGTGGAAAATGTGGAATCTAAGGAACGTTACCCCTTACTATAACTCAAGCAAATTTGACTTTATCAAGACATGCCTCTAGCAAAATGTTTTGCTTCAGAAGTGCTCTAATGTCTTAGGTTTGTTCCAACAAAGGATAACAAATATCATTTACCCCTGTGCTCCTAGATATCAGGGGTCTTTGGCACCTACAGTGAGAGATGTCATCCCAGAAATATTTCTGTGTGCATCTTGCATATACTGGTCTTTCTATCTTATCTGAATTTAATCTCTGTTTTTTTTTCTAATAGAGGAGTTAGGGCTTGACAAAAATATCCCATAAGAAAGTTTAAACCAAAAAAAAAAAGTTTAAATTCGGGGCTGAGGATTTGATTTAGCGCAGCAGCATAAGCACCTGCTTTGTAAGCAGGCGGTTGTGAGTTCAATCCCCGGTACCGATAAAAAAAAAAAAAAAGATAATTTAAACCCTGAATAGGTAGTTTTCAAGTTTTTTTTTAAAAGAGAATAAAACAAAACAGAACAGAACAAAGCAGAGCAGAGCAAAATAATGCAGATAACACAGGATTTCAGAACAAGACAACAGGAAATCAACAATGGCTACCATGTCTCTTGTTTTCTTTGAAATAATTGTCCATACCTTCACAAACAATAAGTTAATACAAATCAAAGTAGTATAAAAGCAGTCAAAATAAAAGAATGAGAGGGTTTTTTTTGTTGTTTTGTTTTTGTACCAGGGATCGACATCATGACCCTGTGCTTGCCAGGCAGGGACTGAGCTAAATCCCTTGCCCCAAGAATGAGAGTCTTAAGGGCTTTCAAGACCAGACACTAAGAAATCAATAATGGCTACCATAATGTCTCTTGTTTTCTTCAAAATAGCTGTTCATACCTTCATACATATTGAAATCAGATAATTGAAAACAGACTAAAATCAATCAAAACCAATAACAAAAGCTTTATTGGACTTCAGAACAAAATGATAGGAGATCATCAACAGCTACCATGATGTCTTGTTTTCTTCAGTGTAGTTGTTCATACCGTCACACTTAATAAAATCAATTCTTGTAAACGCCTTTGGGTGAAGTTCTAGGCATATATAAGCCTATACATGTACAATAGTTTTCAAGTTTTTGGCAGGACCGACCAGAAGACAGGGGTCATTTAGGGGCAGGGCACGTGGACTCTGATTCAGGGTTCTATAATCTGTCTTGGCCCTGTCACTTACTGTGTGGACTCAGGCAGTTATGTGACTAAGGCTGGCCAGATTCAAGAGGAGAGAATTAAAACACATTTGTCAATGGAAGAAGTGTTAAAAAGTGGAGACCATCTTTAATTCACCATAAGCAAGTAAAACGTGGCAGATGGCAAAATGTATTGCAAGAGAAATAAGACCAGATTAGTAGTTAAAGAAATCTGGAGGCCAAGGAAGGACTGCAGCTTCGAATAGCATGGTGGATTAAGACCTCCCCAAAGTGACCTTGACTCCAGGTGAAGTAAAGCCGTCCTGATGTCTCTGGAAGGAGACTTCCAAGCAGTAGGCACAGCAAGGACCCATGTAGTTGAATCAAAAAAGAACATTCAAAAAAGAACAGAGAAGTAGCAGGGACTATTTTCTCATGTTTGGGAAACAACTCTGAAAATACAATTATTGTCTTAAAATAGGAGCCACTTTATTGTTTCAAAATTTAGTATTATATAATAAGAAAGAACAATGGATAGGCTAGGATAGGAAAAGACAGTAGTGAGAGAACAAACTCCAAAGACTAAGGAATATAAAAAAATACTCAGCTTCATACATACTTAGGGAAATATACTGGGATGAGCAATGAGACTCATTTCATATCCATTAGGTAAGCAAACTTTAGATTGATACTGAAAGTGTTGGGAAGAAAGCACAGAGATTGTAATTGTCATGCTGCTCATGGGATGAAAGTTACACCCAACATTTTGGAAGCCAACTTGGCAAGAACAGGAAAAAGTGAAGGTGTTCACAAAGCATAATTCATCCTCTTCCTTCCAGGCATCCACAAGGTAAAAGACTGACACCTGTTGGTGCTCACTTGCAGCACTATTTGTGGTGGCCAGAAATTGGGAAATACCTACTACTGTTCACTGAAAGAAGATAGGATAAATAAATCTAATTAAATAAATTAATGTAACCAATAACACATAGTTTTGTTATAATGCATGAGCCAGATCTCTATGTGCCAATGTAAATAAATCCCTGAAGCATAATTGTTATCGTTTGTGTCTAGATGTCCCCCCAAAGCCTCATGAGATCACAGGTGGGTTTTTTTCAAGAGTGGCTGGATCTAGAGTGTGTGATGCTGGAACTGATTCATGTGCAATGCTGGGATCAAGGGAACTGGGATTAAGAATGTGAGTGCTGCCTTCCCAGAGTAGCCTGGATAAGACGCGAGGGGCAGAAAGAGCTGAGGTTGTCTCTTGCTTG